CACTACATCTGGTACGGGAAGGTCTGTAGCCGGGTAAAGAAGCCACCATGACGTAATTCATGTCTATCGGACACCGATCAGTATATTATGTAGGAGTATCTTAAGAGTTTACGGACGTTATCTGTATTTGAGAGACAATTATATTATATGCATACATTATTATTTGATTGTTTCACACTTTTCACATTTCATCAATTTATTACTAGGTGGTAGTGATGTTATTGAGACTTTGGGCGGCCAAAAACTCCTGTTCTGCAAGTTGTCCTCTGTACTTGTTTCGCTGTCCCACGCTTTTTAGCATTTATACCCCCCCCCCCCCCCCCAGTGTAGAGTGATTTATCATCATCTGTCATACTACTAAGATAGAAGGAGTCAGAGTATCCTCCTCGTTGGTAATACCATTTCGGGCAGTGACCAATGAAATAGTTCATCCATTGTCTCCTTCCATGAGACAGTGTGGACAACTTTTGGGGACCATTGTCGGTTTGAACTTAGGGGTCGTTAACATATTACGTAATCAATATTTTAGCAATTTTTACCCCCCTCCCCCCTTCCGTAATCAACCGTAATCAAGACCCAACCTCCCCCCCCCCTTCTGACAGCAATATTACGTAATCATGGCCCGGCCCCCCCCCCCCCCCCCCCCCCCCCTTGAGATTTTTCCTAGAGAACACTTTTCTCTACGTTTCATGCTACCCTGATCATGCTATCATGATGAGCTGAAATCATTGTTATGGTATCCGGCCAAGCACCTTCTAAACTACTCACTATTATAGCCGGATATTCGATCAATTTCTAAATTTTATCACTATCAGAGTGAAATTGAGTGGAATTTAAAATATCAAATTGTTATTATTCTAGAGGGTAAAAACAAAAACTTTGATTACGTAATCAACGACCGAACCCCCCGCCCCCCCCCCACCCCACCCCGTAATCAACCATAAGCATTTGGAAACCCCCCTCGGCCGATTACGTAAAATGGTAGTTCTGTTTACAATGTCCAGTAAGGAAGAATTATGCCGCTGTTCTTGTGCTCATTTTCCCAAGTTTTGGGATTAATCTGGCGAACTTATGTCTCTACTCGTTCGAAGTGAGTGCTATTAATTACGTAATTATCAGCTAACTCCCCCCCCCCCCCCCCCCCCCCCGTAATCATTTGGGAACCCTCTGCCGATTACGTAATATGTGAACGACCCCGAAGTATAATCTGAGATACTTTATTTTATGACATGCTATATTGTAATTTGTTTACATGTTTCAGTGTACATTTCTACTGTACTATTACGAAATTATTATTACTGTACTATTACGAAATTTAACGAACTTGCTGCTTGTCCATCAGAATTGTGACTTTTATTTTGTTGAAAATTTAGGTGGGCACGAAAACTGTTAGTTAGAATGTAAGTTCAGAGGAATTTTTCCCTTACAATCAAGCTACATGAATTGTTGTGAATACTAAGATCAAACTATCATTTTACAGGCTGGCGTCATCTTCATTGACACAAGCCCTATAAATTGTATAGTAAAAAGTTAATACAACCCAAAATTCCCTTAAAAATCTGAACACTCTTAAAACGTTCATTAAAAGTTAAAATGAGATGTTAGAGTATAACATATATAAGTAAGGGAAGGCCGAAAGGATTTATAATGTTAATTCCCAAAGGTTTTAAAATTAAAGTCTAGAGAAGTTAAATATATTCATGTTCACGGACTTCCAAAGTTTTGGGACTAGAATTATCAATGATCGACACAGAAATGTTCCCTTTGTCTATAAGTATAACCACGATCCAATAAATGTAAGCAAAAACTATATTCATCACTTATTTATCGCCATTTAAAAGTTTATAATATTTGACCCTATGTTCTCCAGTCCTAATATATAATATAACCGGCCCGTATAATATAACCCGTAAAGAGCGAGTAGTGCGACCGACGTAAGCCTTTCCACAGACACTACATTGGGAAATAACAAATAAATGATGTTGTAACTCTATAAGCAGTAGAAGTTTCCACTTTCCAAGGGAAGCTTTAAGTTCACAACATTTGCATCGTGGCACATTGCATTCGCTGGTTCATGGTTGGGCCATGTTTAGCTCCTAAAGCAAGTAAAGTTCTTTCAATTTGACGAGGCGAGATTTTAACAACATAACTCGCAGGACTGCTGTATTTAGCACACGCGCGACTGTAATGATATGAAAAATGAGCCGTCCGCTCATGCCTATATATAGTCATCGTGTCCATAGATACGTGAAGCGACGCGTATCCATAGATACGTGTAGTGACGCGCAAGTTATTCTATTATGAATTCATTTTGTTTGGCGCGCGGCGTAAGAATTTATTTTGACCATATAAATGTTCATAACTTTTTGTGAGAACCTGCGCTGAGTTTTTTGAGAAGGGCGACATTCGATTGAGCATTTTTGCTATCCAATGGTATAAAATGTAGCACCAGCGCAATTATCGCTCAAAAATCTTATTTCTACGCGCAGCTCTCAGCGGGTGGTTACTGGGCGGCGCTCAGCCTGTCATTCCGCCTAATCTCTATTATGTTTGGCGTAAACCATATTGATATACGCAAGAATTGTCATACGCGTACGTTTACTGTTTAGAGTTTAGACCTGCCGGCTGCGCCGCGCGGCTGTATCGTGGTCACGATACTTATGGCTTCGTGAAACAATTATACGTAGTGAAACGACAATAGTGATTTAATGAAACGTAAAGTGACTGCAATCGACGCGATGACTTAGTCATTAGTGAAACGACAATGGGGGGTCACGACGTGATACAACGCTACAAAGGTGAAAGGCTGTCTGAAAGGCCGCGCGCTGAGTTAGATTGTAAAACTGCACTAGTACTGATTATATTGGATTGTAAAATTGAAAATCGTAAAAACGCACCCGCTTGCACCATGCACTTTTGAAAACGTTCAAATACACCAAGTTATGTTTATGAACATAATAGCCTGGGGTTTCCACTACACATTAGTGACTAGCAACTAGTGAGCTTGAGTTTGTACAAAATCTTCAATTTTATTTAGCTTTACTTGGCCAAACATGAAACACTTCAGTTAACCATTTGCTTTCACGCCGTTGCGGGCGCGCTTGTTTCAGGACTGGCGCGGCGGGCGCTACTGTGTACTGCACGCGCAATTATAGCCCATTATATGCACATTTAAAAGAATTTGCACTTTCATTTTTAAACGCTCACTTTGACAAATTATAACTCGCCACCAATCAAGTCAAATTTCAATTTTTAAATATCAAAAGAAAATAAAGAATTTCTCCAACACGAAAGGGGCGATTTGGATGGGGTCGTAAAAACGCGATCTTCACCCTCAAAATCGACTTTTAAAACTTAAATTTTCCGTCAAAATAAGTCTTATATTATAATTAAAACATCCCCCAACCTCCCAGCATCCCCCACAGGGGGCCGGGAGCTGAAGCCATTAAGCTTCCCCCTCTTCTATTCCTTCTGTTTTCTTATTCTGCAACTGAACTATGAACTCTCGTCTCTCTCGTTCAGAAAACCTTACCACCTGCCGGGATTGCTAGACGATGTCAGTTCATCTCAGCTCGGCGCGGCACAGTAGCGTATCCCGCCGATCTAGAGAGAGAGTCGCTGTGAGAAGCCTCATTGAGTGCGCGGCGCGGCACAGTAACGCATCGCGCTACAAGGCTCGCTAGATGTGATCGATTTTCAACAGCGCGTTCGTCCTCGCGTGTCACATCAAGTTAATCTTTCGCACGCTGCATTTAGCCCCACATTACTTTGCAAAGTTAAAAAGCTGCGATCTTTTATTTAGCCCAAAATCAAACTTTTCTGTTTAATTCAGAATCTAAGTTGTCCCAATTTTTGCTCCTGGGGAGCTAACTTTAAATATTTACGAGACGGAAATCTTGTTGAAACCGGAACGTTCTATCTATTTTACTTTTGGAAATAGACCCCAGCCGGTAGGGTTTGCTTGTCATACGTTGTATGACCCGCCGCGCACGAGTGCGCGGCTCCCCTGTATCGTCGAAACTCTACAGGGGTTTTAGTGAAGCGACCGTGGGGGTCACCACGTGATACAAGGGTTTGTAGGGCCTGTCGTGATATCATGGATCGCTTAGGTTCCACCAGGATCTGGTAGTCCTCATAATTCTGCGGCCTCTATGTGTCGTCATCTCGCACAACTCTTTAAGAATCTTGTGGATTTGGCATGTGAAAATTTGCAGCCCTCCAGACATTGATTGGGTTAACGAGGTGTCGTACGTCACCTCAAGATCGGGTGACAGGGGGCTGACCAGGCCAGAACCCAATTGATTGGGCCTGAGGTCACGTGATTATGAGCCTAAGGTCACGTGACTATGACGTCACCAGACCTTCCTCTCCGTTTCCCGCTCATTGGACCAGGTGAGCTTGCATGCATGTGAATGTGGGTGTAAGTATAGCTGTACTGTAGTTTATACCTAATTAAACCCCTATAGAAACCGACAATTTATATTCTGGCAGAAAGCTAGAAATTTACCAAAATATCGTCATTGTTTTAAATTTATTTTGATGACCATTCCTGACCTAAAATCGCACGAGAAATCGATTAAACTTGGTTTCAGAACTCAACAATGCTTCCTTATGCCTCAAAATCCATGTTTTATCGATACAATCAACATATCGATCCTGTAGTTCAACTTATTACTTATGGGGTTCAAGTATAGTTACGCGGTAGACAAACTAAAACAAAATTGTAGGTTTATAACCTACCAAGACGTGTGCCGAGTTAAGCTCGAGTCGAAGGTAATATTTGGAACAAATATTTTACGAGTATCACCCGTTAAAAACAAAACACCAGTTTAATTGTCCTTTTGTCTGAACCATATGGTTAAGTGTTAGCTGTATACAATACGTCAAAAAATCATATCAACGAATCGTATCAAAGTCCATCATCAGTTAGTAACAGAGTAGAGATCAGAGCAGAACGAAGGAACATGCTTGCTTGCGGGAATCTTTTAATACTTTCAACACTACTATATAACAAATAATTTGAGGTATGACACGAGGAGATACGGCACGAAAACGAAATGTCAAGAAAAGTCCAGAGAAAACTGGTGCTACAGCAGAAACGGATGTAACTGAAGATGAAGGAGACCGCAGTTGTGAATGCAGAAGGTATATCGCAGAGGAGTTTTCATTAGCTTGTGCAACCTGTGATATGTACTGGCATTATTGCTGTGTTGGACTGACAGGTCTGACACAAGAAGAAGGCGACCATCTGTCTAACTGGCGTTGTCAGAATTGTTTTATATCACCTTACATAAAAAGCAAAAGGACTCAGACCTCGAACCCTGATAATGAAGAAACAAAAATACTACGGAATGTTATTAGGCAGGAACTTGAGGCTCTTACACCTTGTATCAGAGGGGTTGTTGAAAACGCAGTGAACGAGAACATTCCAACTAACTTTGAGTCTGAAAAACCTAAAGAAATATCAAAGATAGTGAACCAGGCTTTCCAGTCCTTCGCTGATGTTACTGCAAATAGTCAGAAGAAAGTTATGGAAGAAATGAGCTTACAGCAAGCTTCACAAAGTGTTGTCAGTAAAGTTCAGACAAAGATGCACACTGATGCATATGAGCGAAATTTAAGGAAGCTCAATCTGTGTGTTTTGAATGTACCAGAGAGCAAGAAAGCTAACTCCAAGCTACGCCAGGAAGAGGACTCGAATTTCTGCAAGGAGACACTAAAGATCGAAAAAAGTGACTTTATCAGTTGCCATCGTGCAGGTAAAGTGGATCCAGGTAAGCCAGACTCCTGTCGGCCATTGATCATCCAGACAGCTGATGAGGAGTCAGTTAACTATTATTCCAACCATGGCAAGGGCTGGAAAGAGTCATCATACTGGATAAATCTGGATCTCTGCAGAGCAGACCGAGAGATCCGTTTTTTAGCCAGAGAAGAGAGGAAGAAGAGGCGGGAAGAAGCAGAGAAGGAAAAGACAGAGAAGAAGGTGGAGAAGAAGTAAATAGCAGTGATAAAGAATGTAGTCAGCCCATGAATATTTTTTATACTAATGCTAATGGACTATTTAATAAAATTGATGAACTAAAATGTATTCTATCAGTTTATAAATCCATTCATGTAATCTGCATTACAGAAACCCATTTTAATAGTGATATTTTAGATGCTGAAATTTTTATTGAAGGTTTTAGTATGTTTAGAAAAGACAGAGATTTTAAAATCGATAACTCCACTAGCAACATAAGTGGAGGTGGAGGTTCTATTATTTATATCAAAAACAGTTGTAATGCTTCATTAGTGAGCTCATTTTTAAAAGCACCAGACTCTTTAGCTATTAATGTCAATACCTCTGGTGGATTGATTAGTATTTGTTGTATTTATAGGTCTACCTCTTTGAATTTAAAGCAGAATAATATGTTATTATCTTGCATCAAGAACATATCTAGTGAAAAGAATGTTTTTGAAACCATTATCATTGGAGATTTTAACCTACCTAATGTATCTTGGGAAACTGGTAGTGTAAATAGTGGTATTTCTAGTAAGAATCAGGTTTTAATGATTCAACAAAAGTATATTGATTTATTTAACGACAGTGGTTTGACGTGGTACTTTACTAACGAAACAACCAGAAGACGGCTTGTGAAAGATACTCTCCAGGAGAGTCTTCTTGATCAGGTTTTGTATACAAATGATGCTCTTGTCAACGGTTGTAAGATCGTTTCTCCGCTTGGCAAAAGTGATCATGTTGGGATACTAGTCGAACTGGTTGTTTCGCCCAATACTAACAAAAGTCCCAAACAAAAGATTTTAAAGCCTATTTGGGGTAAGATTTCCTCAGAAGAGTTATTTAACTTTAGTATGAATAATATTGACTGGGATTATAGTTGTACAAATAATGTTCAAGATATGTGGGTTGAACTACATGGTAAATTGGAGTCTGTTGCTGCAGCTGTCCCAGCTGCTTCGGTTTATCTCGACAACAGACCTGTCAAGTTGCCATGGAGTACAACTTCACTTAAAAGAATGAGGAAGAACAAGGATAAAGCATGGGCTGAATTTGATATTAATCCTTCGGATATTAACTTTAGCTGTGCAAATAGCAAGCAGCATATTTTTGAGGTGGCAGAAATTAAAGCTAAAGTAAATTATGAAAAGAAGATTACTTCTAATTTAAAACAGAATTGTAAATCTTTTTACTCGTATTTGCGTAATAAACGTCAAGTTAAGTCAAGTGTTGTTTCTTTAGATAGAGGAGATGGTACACGCACAGATAGTTCATCTGAGTCAGCTGAGGTACTTGCTAGTGCCTTTAGTTCTGTGTTTGTGCGTGAACCACCTGGCCCTCTTCCCCAAAATGAGAGTTATAACAAAGAGGTTATTGATGATATGGAAATTAGCAGTTCTGATATCAAGAAGCAGCTTTTAAAGCTTAATGTTTTTAAGAGTTCTGGTCCGGATGGCGTTCATCCAAAGTTGTTGAAATCCTTAGCATACGATGAAAAGTTTGTTGAAGCTGTAACTAAATTATTTATTAAGTGTTCAGAAACAGGAGTCCTGCCTGACATTTGGAAGACAGCATCTGTTGTAGCATTGTTCAAAAAGGGTGTTAAATCTGATCCCTTAAATTATAGACCTGTCTCATTAACTTGTATTTTGTGCAAAGTGTATGAAAAGTTGACCTGAGGGCACATTTATTAACATTTTTAGAAGAACGAATTTCAAAGCATCAGCATGGATTTGTGAAGGGTAAATCTTGTCTATCTAATCTCTTAGAGACATTTGATAATATTCTTGATATTTTAGATGAAGGTGCTCCTGTCGATCTTTTGTATTTTGATTTTAGTAAGGCCTTTGACACAGTCCCCCACTTTAGACTTCTATCTAAATTGGAGGGGTTTGGGGTCAAGGGAAAAGTTTTAGATGTTATAAAAGACTTTCTGACAGACAGAACCATGAGGGTTTGTGTAGAAGGACAATGGTCTGAGGTGAAACACGTGTTATCTGGTGTTCCCCAGGGGTCAGTATTGGGTCCTTTGTTATTTAATCTTTATATAAACGATTTACCTGACAATGTTAAAAATAAGATTAAATTATTTGCAGATGATCTCAAGTTAGTTTGTAATGCAGCTAACCATAGAAGTGTATCTGATGATATTTTAGAACTCGAAATTTGGGAGAGTATTTGGCACTTAAACTTCAATCCTGCCAAGTGTAAAGTAGTCCATATTAATCTGAATAATAATCCTAACTCGAATTATATTGTAAATGGAGTAGAACTAGAAGTATCTGCACAGGAAAAAGATTTGGGGGTTATTACCCATAGCTCCTTGCTTTGGAATGAACAGATAAAAGCATGTATTTCTAAAGCAAATCGTATGATCTGCTGGATAGTAAGGAACTTAATTATTAGAGAAAAGGTTGTAATGATAGCTATTTATAAAGCTTTGATAAGACCTCATCTTGAGTATTGTGTCCAATTGTGGAATCCAGTTGCGGCTCATGGAAGTTGGGGGACTGTTTTGGAGCTGGAGAGCGTCCAGAGGCGGTTTACCCGTCTTATTGATGAGGTGGGTACTCTTCCATACAGCTGCAGACTGGATATCCTCAGTTTGACAACGCTGGCAGAGCGGCGAATACGTGGGGACCTTATCGAAGCTTTTAAAGTAACTAGTGGTTTGACTGAATATGGATCGGGTTTGTTCAGAATGAGCAGATCTGGTCTTAATCTAGTTTCAACCAATAGGTGTAATAAGAGTGTAACTAAAGTTAAGAATCTCCAGTCTTCTTTTCTTCCGGAGCGAGTCATTCCTTACTGGAACAAACTCCCTTCAGATGTCAAGAACTGCTCGACAGTTTTAAGCTTTAAAGTTAGATTGGAAGGATTTAAAAAAGAAATGATTTCTAAAAACAGTGTAAATGATTTTTATTTTTGGAATGTTTCGAATGAAGTTTTAGGGAAAATTGAAGGACCCAGTTATTTAAGCAATAAGGAGACACATAATGAATATCTGTGGTTTCATCCTTTTGTGGCAAAGAAGCGTTTTATAAATCTTTATTCCACTGGGAAGTATTAATGAATTATTTATAATAGATAATGTATTAGATTTTATTTATTAATAAAATTGAATTTGATGAATTATTAATGTTGATGGAAAAATATATTTATTTAAATTATTTTTTTATTTAGTGCAATGATATTTTGTAGACACTTGTGATGATGTTATGTCATAATCTTTACTTACTTACTTACTTACTTACTTACTTACTTACTTTCTGAAATATTGTCGACAGGTTAAAATCAATTGCATTTCTGTTACTTGGGTGTGGGATATAAAGCATTATATGGTTGTTAAAAGCCTACATAATACTCTTCACTTAATATGGCTAATGTTTAGCATTATTTATAATCCATTATAATGATGTGATCTGAAATTAAGTTAAGCTACAGACGTTTTTTGTGACAATACAAGAAATAATGGATGAGCTCCTACTTGTGAGCCACTTAGGAAATACAATATATCTGATTTATTGTACCTTCACTTCTTCTGCTTTTTCGTTTGCTGTCTGTGCTCTGCGACAGCAATTTGTTGCCCAGATTTCCTATCCTCCCCTACCACCTTCTTACCACAGGTTGATATAAGCGCCACTTGCCTCTCAACAGCTTGGTTGTTGTTAACAAATGCTGTTTTGAGAGGCATTCTTATAAATGATATAATAGCGGCTCTCGTCAGACCACGTAGCAAGGGGGGTAGGGTTACCCGAGCATACTCCTTCTTTGCTGAGGATAATTGTGTTATTTTTTATTTACATCATGTACTGAGCCTGAAGAAACTATAACCTAACTCGAACACGTTAGTTCTAGTAGTAGTATAATAATATGTCGAATGAATGATTGATTAAGCTGATCGTTAACATATGACACATATTATGGAAAAAAGTATCTTTGATAATAATAATTCTCTCATGATCAGTGTGTAACTGTCCATAATGTAAAAGTTGTTATCTCACTCTTGTTTACGCTAATATAATG